TTTTTAAAACATAATAAATGAAATTTAAAATCAATCCCACAATGCGGAGGCCGGTCATTGGGGAAGCCGGTTAGCTCAGTTGTTGAGAGCGCAGTGCTCACAACACCAAGGTTGCTGGTTCGAGTCTCACTTGGGCCGCTGAGGTGCGCCCTCCACAACTAGATTGAAACGACTACTTGACTTGGAGCTGATGAGTCCTGGAAAAAGACACTGTCCCCCAATAAAAAAAATTAAAATTAAAAGTTAAAAAATTAAGAAGAGGACAGTGGGATATATGTATAAACAAAAAAATCAATCCCACATTTAGATATTCTGTGGCAAGCTCCTTGGGGAAAATGCTAAGTGAAAACACTTTCGGCATAAATAAGGGAACCTGGTGTTGACTGGCAAAAAATAACTGATGCACAAAAAAAAAAAAGCGTTCATTCGGAAGAAGGAAAAACAAAGAAACAACCTGCCACTGCAGTGTGACAAACGCAGTGCTCCAACACAGGGCTCCTACCAGCCGCCCACATGGAGAACAGAGAGCTATTTCTAGATGGCTCTTTCTGTTTATAATATCCCTGTCCTGGAAGCTATCACAAAGTTAAACATGGAGTCAGGTTTAGAGTTAACAAGGGGCCCAGCTGCACCCACAGTCCTCCCAGCTCTATGGTCAAGCATCACAAAATACCAGTTCACTTTTATCACTGGAAACTAAAGGAGCCACAATTGTCATCAAGTCCAGTTTGCCAGTGGCAGGCATGGAGGCCCAGGGGCCTCTTCCGCGTTTCTCACAGAAATGTCTACATATGTGTTGGGCTAGGTTGAAAGGTCCTTCTTTCCTAACCTCTCACCCTAGCATTTGTCACACACAAGTCTGTCCTCTGCTATCACTTAGATCTGTGACAAGGTGTGCGCACACATGTACAGGGTAACATGCCTGACACAGCGAGCTGCTCACAGCTGCGACCACAGGGAGCCCTGTGGGCTCATCGTGCTGATACCTGCTTCATTTTCTCTCGCTGACAAGGACAAACTGTTATCAGAAACGAGCTGGGGCCAGCATGCCATGTGCTGGTGTCAGCGCATGCTCCCGGCGCCATCAGCCACCGCCAATCCCGATGGCCCTTTCCAGACAGCTCGGGTCGGCACCGATGGTGGCCACGCACCTGAGGATGTCCCCCTTGTTGAGGTTCAGGAGCACGTTGTAGCCACGGAACTCAGCCTCGCTGGCGCAGGACACGCCCCTGCCCCGTAGGTCCTGGTACATCTCCTTCAGGCTCTGTAGGCACTTAGTCATGTTCTCGTTGTTGATCTTGGCGTCGAAGGAGGACATGGGCTCCTCACACATGAAGTGAGCGCAGTGGATGTGCAGCCGGGCGCACTTCTCGATCAGGGACACCGTCACAGGGTCGCACAGGTGCTGCTGCGTGATGTCCTAACCAAGAGCAAGCGGGACTCTTACACGCGTGCATGTGTGAGCCTCCAGGCACATGCGCCTCGTGCACAGAACACGGGACACATTCCCGCCAGAGGGAAGTGGCTTCTGAAGTCATGCCTGCTACCTGCATTCCTCAAATTTCAATTTGAAACACAGCCAGTGAAGAATACTCTTAATAGGACTTTGTAACGACTTTAAACAGCAGCATGTTTTCTGTTACAGATAAAACATAACTGAGCCGAGTGAAGGGACCCGTCACTCTGGGACCCGTGCGCTGCCAGTGCCCGAGTCGGGAGAGGCGCGTACCTTCCGTATGCCCCGTGTACGGTTCCACAGGAAGTCGTACCAGTCCCGCAGGCTGCCGTCCGTCCGATCCATGACGTGGGTCACCAGGTAGTCCATGGTCCGGCTGAGAACCACCAAGGGCCGCAGCTCGTGTGGCAGTGGCTCCTCCTGGTCTGCTGACGAGCGGCTGTACTCTTTCACAGCCACTGCATGGTCCACCTGGGACACGAGGGGGACACGCAGCTGGGGGGCCGGTGCTGGCCAGCCCCCCCAGCAGCTGTGCCTCAAAATAAGGGGAAAATCGCGCACACACTCATATAATGCCAATACTACACAATGAAATTTTAAAACATGAAATTTCTGCTTGAAGGTGACAATCAAAATTAAAAGACAAAATAAATTGAGAAACACTTTTGACAAATACAACGCAGAGTGAAGAGACCATCACATCGAGAAGCAGAAGCGATATAAGTGAAGACACACCTGCTTGGCTCCAAGCACAGAGGAGTGACAGGGAAAGAATTT